AGCAATCTGGGAATATAGTGAAAGGAAACAAAAACACTAACTTGAAAAACTATCTGCACCCCATTGTTTACTGCAGCATTATTCACAAGTGCCAAGACATGGAAACCATCTAACTATTCAACAGACGAATGGATAAAAATGTGAAATACACACACATGCACTCACTCTCTCGCTCTTGCTCACTCATTGGAACCACTAGAACGAAAGAAATCCTTACATCTGCAACATGACGGTCCTTGAGGACATTATACTAAGTGAAATATAACTCAGAAAAAGACAAACATGATATGATCTCACTTATATGGAAGAATCTAATTGAAAAAAAAAAAAACTCAAAGGAAAATATATCATACTTGTGATCACCAGAGGTGGGGGGCAGGAAAAAGAATTTGGAGGACAGTGGTTAAAAGGTGCAAACTTCCAGTTATAAGATAAATAAGTACTAGGGTAAAATGTACAGCACACTGACTGTCGCTAACGTGCTATATGAAGTGCATGACAGTTAGGAGAGCAGATCCTGAGAATTCTCATCACAAGGGACAAATAGCTTGTTTTTTTTTTCTCTTTCTTATTATCTTTTTCTTCTAATTTATTTATTTATACATACAAGAGCTGGGGTGTAGGCCAGAGGTGCGGGGGGGGGGTGAGAGGACCCACCAGAGACAGAGTGGGGAACAGAACAGGCAGACTGACTGAAATACACTGCTGAGGGGAGCAGTGGGTGAGACAGGAGAGGTCTGCTCACCATGTGGGTCAGCTCCCTGGCCGGGGATAGAACTCATGCCTCAGTGTCTGTGGATAGCTTCATAGTGCTGAGACTTAGCCCCTTGTACCACCAGGGAGGACCTTTTTTTCTCTTATTGTCTTTATGAAATGATGGAAGCTAATTGAACTTATTGTGGTAATGATTTCACAATATATTAAGTGAAACTTTTTTTTTTTTTTTTTTTAAAGAGGCACGTATTTTATTTATTTATTTATTTGTTTGTTTGTTTGTTTATACATGCACTGGGTACAGTCAGAAGCACGGGAGGGTGAGAGAATTCACCAGAGCCAGAGCGGGGAGCAGAGCAGGCAGAAGGACCGAAGTACACTGCTGAGGGGAGCAGCAGGCGGCAGGAGAGGTCTGCGCGCCATGTGGGACCCTCCTCCGGGGGCCGGGGTGCAGCTGGGGATCGAACCGGCGCCACAGAGGCCGCGGGGAGCTTCACAACCCAGCGCTCAACCGCTGTGCCACCGGGGAGGCCCTTAAGTGAAACTTTTTATGGTGTACAGCTTAAACTTAAACACAGCTGTAATGCCAACTATATTTTGATAGAACTGGGGAAACAATACTATGTAGCTGTTGAAGACAAGGGGAACACTTCCTTGCATGTGGTTACAGAGCCATCTACCACAGGCATTATCAAGTGAAAAAAGCAAGATGTCTCTGGAAGGGGAATCAGGTGTTGACAATCCACGCAGGAGCTTGGGTTCTGAGGCCCTGCCTGGAGGGGAACATCTGTGTGACTCCATGTAAGGAGGACTCTATTGCGTTGGCCACAGGAATTTTGTGGCATATTTGCTCTAACAGATGGGATTACTTGATATCATATGAGCTTGTCTCGGTTTGCTAGAAAACAACACACAGGCAGTCTCCTTAAGGTCTCAGACCAAACACCTTGCCTGGTTCTTCCCTCTTGGGTCTCTGTCAACCTCTGGTCTCAACTCCAAGGGCTCCAGCCTCCGACAGCTTCCCAGATACTTGCTTTCTAGTTTTTCTTTCCTCTGCTTCTCTGATGTCAAAACGCTTATGTTTGCACAGCTCAGCACCTTCTCCTTGGGCTTTCGGTGATACTTATCTGGTTGAAATGCACCCATGTGACCCCATATCTATCCCTCTTCCCAGCCAATGTCCCCTCATTCCTGCACCTCTAGTGTCCATCTCCCATGTCTGTAAGATCTTTACTGCCCGCAGGCCTCCCTGGCGGCTCAGGGGGTTAAGCACTGCACTATGAGGCAATCCACAGCCTCTGCAGCACAAGTTGGATCCCCGTTCAGCCAGGGAGAGACCCACATGGCGCAGCAGACCTCTCCTGTCTCGCCGGCTGCTCCCCTCAGCAGTGTATTTCGTCAGTCTGCCTGTTCTGTTCCCCACTCTGTCTCTGGTGAATCCTCTCACCCTCTGCCCTGTACCCCAGTTATTGCATGCATAAATAAGTAAATCTTTAAAAAAAAATAAAATGCAAGTCAAGGAAGTCATCCCCCAGACCCTTCACCTGGGCCTCTAGGGTCCTTCCAGCTCTGCCTGCCTAATTCTCTCTCCCCTGCCCACACTCTCCCTCCTGTTCACCATTCTTTCTCCATCGCGCCAACACTCGCCAGTGTGGTTCCATCTTCAAGGCCTTTGCACACCGTTAGTTCCCTGGAATGCTCTCCTAGGACCTTTAGGAGACCTTGGCAATTTAGGTCTCAAGTGTCACTTTCTTAAAAGCTGTGCCCGCTGGGTCTCCCCTGTGGTGCAGAGGGTTGAGCACCGTGCTGTGAGGCTGTCCGCAGCCTCTGCCGCGCCGGTTCGATCCCCGCCGGCCTCGGAGTAACCACATGGCGCGCGCGGACCTCTCCTGCCGCCCGCCGCTCCCCTCAGCAGTGTACTTCGGTCCTTCTGCCTGTTCTGCTCCCCGCTCTGGCTCTGGTGAATCCGCTCACCCTCCCGCGCCTCTGGCCTGTGCCCCAGCGCTTGTATAAGTAAATAAACCTTTCTAAAAACCAAACAAAACTGTGCCCTCTGCTCCAACCACGCCTGACCACTATCCGCAATCCTCTCCTGTTTTAAGGTCGGTCTCTCCCGCTAGGGTGTAAGCCCCGGGAAGCCCAGGCCAGGGTCGCTGGGCGCAGGACGCACACGGGAGGGGTTCGGGCACACTTCAGGGATTCGACCAGGGCGCGCTGAACTCGCGAGGCCGGCCCATTCCACGCGCGCGGCCGGCGGCGGCGGGCGCGGGGCGCGGATTCCCGCGAAGGGGAGGCCCCGGGGCAGCGGCCCTCCCGCCCCCACCCCGAGCGCTCGGGGCCGCTGGCCGCTCGGCCGGGCGTGGGGGAGGCGGCCGGCACGCCCCCCGCGCCCCGCCCCGCCCCGCCCCGCGCCTGCCCATTGGCGGCCGCGCGGGGGCGGGGGAGGTCGCCGGCGCAGTGACCCCCGCCGGCCGCCCTGCGCCCCAGCCGCCCGCTCCCCGCTCCCGCCGCAGCATGTTGCGCGCCGCCGCCCGCGCCGCCGCCGGCCTGAGACCCCGCCCGGGCCGCCGCCTGCTCTCGGCCGCCGCCGCCCAGGCCGTGCCGTCGCCCAGCCAGCAGCCCGAGGTCTTCCACCACCAGGTGAGGCCGCTCGGCCCCAGCCCGCGCTTTGTTCTCGAGGGCGGGCGCCCGGGGCTGGGGAGCCGGGGGCTGGGGTCTGTGTACCCACTCGGGCGCGAGGGCTCCGCGGCGCCCACGTCCCTCCCTCCCCGCGCGCGCCCGGCGCCCCCCGCGCAGCCCGCGGCCCTTTCCCCGCCGTGGACTCTGGCTGCGCGCTCGGCTGGCGGCGTCCGGCCGCCCCGCGCCCCCGGAGCGTACCGGGCTGTCGGGCCTCGGTCTCCTCACCCCGCGCCCGCGCGGTCCTCGCCGCCGCCCAGCAGAGACGCGTCCGCCCGGGCCCTGTGCGAGAACTTTCCGGTGTTTTCCTTGCGCATCTTTTACCCCCCGAGGCCTGCCCTCGTCCAGGGCAGCCCAAGAGGAGAGACGAGGAAAGAGGGGATCATTTCTCGTTAAGGGTCACCAACTCCCTGAGAGGCCGGGCTCTGCCACGGCTGGGACCTGGGCGCGGGTGGGCAGACCTTCGCCTCGGGGCTCAGGCCTCAAGTGGCGTCTGCGTCCGTCCGCCAAGGGGCTGGCGTTCTTGACCCAACCGAGGGAGGGCTTTCCAGGATGGCGCCCATTCCCGGTGGGCGATGCCTTGCTCAACCAGGACCTTGGAATATTCCTCTTTGGGTCTCGGAGTTGGGGAGAGCGCTGGGATCCACAGAGGCTGGGGAAGCGGATCTTGAAGGCTCACTTCGTGCAGCGGGGTCCTTGCTGCCCTCCCGGAGCGTGAGGCTTTTCTTTTGTGCAGCGGACAGGCGGTCAGAGGGTGCGCACAGGGCGAGGGCGCCCTGCACGACAGGACCCCGCCCGATTCTCTGTGCCCATCCTCAGGCTGGGCACCACCGTCACCTGCTTGAGTGGTTAGGCGGGGAGCTTATCTCCACACTACCAGATGAACAGACAGGAGTTACAAAGCAAGTGAGGAGGGGGGTGTCTAGACTCTCACGAGGAAGCTGCTAACAGGAACTGGCTGTGGTGCTCTTGATGCCACCCTGGTAGAGTAAGGGGTCACTGACTTAGGATGTGGTAGCGGCGGCCCCTCATGGACCACTTTCAAAGGCAGGTCTGCTCCTGACCCAGAGGGTAAAGGTGCCTCTGCCCAATTTAAGGAATGTTACGGAAGGCCTTTTACCACGGAAAAAAGACCTGAGAAAACAGAGGTCCTCTGCATAGTACCTGCTGGGGGGTAGGCTGCCTGGGGAGGAGGTTCGTGCTTGGAAGACTTGAGTATTGAAAAAAATCCAGCAGAAATGTCCTCAAGGGACAGTGACCAGCCCCCAGCCTTGGTGACCACAGGTCTAATTAGGATCTTCCTCCTCCATGCTCACCTGAGGCAGGGAACTGAGTCCAGACGTGTATCTGGACCTGGTCTGTGGCTCCATCTCAGGAGGCTCCCTCTCAGGAATAAATTCTCCTCCCTGCCTGTGTTTTTCTTAACCAGATTTTTTGAGATCATAAGAGTAACACTTTTGCCCACAGTATGCAAATGCTTCCCGCACACCCCACTGCACTTCCTGCAAGCGCACTGTTACCAGGTAGGTGCCGCCTTGCAGACGTTCTAGTGTTTTGGGAACCACATGGGGCGGGGGTGGTTCTTACCTAGACAAGATTTTAACACTTACTGTTCTGGAGTCCTGTCTCCTTGACCTGTGCGCCTGGATTATCCAAGTCCTACACTCAGCTTATTCTTTCCAAGGCTTCTCAAGTGTTCCCCGTTGCTGGAACTGGCCCCACAAGAAGCTTCTTGCGCTCATTTCAGTGTTGGGTTGTTGCAAACACTGCTGGCAGGAAAGACAAGACATAAAGTACTGAACTTTTGAGTCCCCGACCAGGTACAAGCTATGTCATACAGAACCGGACATTTCCCTGCGGGAGTCAGGGCAGGGTCGTTAATAGGTCCTTGTTGTTCCATGAACTGTTCTGGAATCTGTTGCCCAAAAAACTGCTGTTTGGAGAAGCTTTCAGGTTGCTTCTGTAGGCATCAGGTTTTCTCACCTGAGGACATGGGCGGGGGATGGGAGGGGAAATGCTGCACTTCAAGCTTGTCATGTCTCACCTGAATGGGTGGGATGCCAGGAGGTAGGCAGTAGGTCTTTTCCTTCCTGCCTGTTTCTCCACCCAAAAGAATTTGAGGGCAGGGCCTCCCCGGTGGCGCAGCGGTTGAGCGCTGGGTTGCGAAGCTGCCCGCAGCCTCTGCAGCGCCGGTTCAATCCCCGGCTGCTCCCCGGCCACCAGAGGAGGGTCCTGCATGGTGTGCAGACCTCTCCTGCCGCCCGCTGCTCCCCTCAGCAGTGTACTTCGGTCCTTCTGCCTGCTCTGCTCCCCGCTCTGGCTCTGGTGAGTTCTCTCGCCCTCCTGTGCCTCTGACTGTACCCAGTGCTTGTATAAATAAATAAACAAATAAATCTTTAAAAAAAAAAAAAGAATTTGAGTGCAGTGATTTGGCTCAACTTCCTAGGATCCTCCTGCCTCTGCTTGCCCTGGATGGGATGCAGGGCGGGATAAACTCAGTCGCTTAGATTTTAGGACAAATTATTCTCCCCCTCCCCCTGCAGCAGGGACCGGTGGCGGGGACTGATAATGACCATTGAAGATCAACATTTTTCCTCCTTCGTGAGTTCCGGGACACACCTCTGTCAAGGAAACTGTTTTTCATTCTTTTTCCTTCCCTAGCTTGGAGAGTAATTAAGATCTGGAGAAAGACAACTCAAAGAAAAACCCAAGGGACTGTGATTTCTGCGCTTAGTCCCTCTAGATTGCGGCTAATACTTTCACCTTCAACCCCCCAATTCCAATTGGTTGGCAATGGTGAGAATATTAGTAATGATGAAAATAATGTCAGCTGCTATCTCCCACTCTGAGCTCTAGGCTGCCTGCCTCTGGCTGTTATCAGCTTGGGTAGGTTCGTTCATTCAACAGACATTTCCTGAGCAAACTCAGTTCCAAGGAACAAAAAAATAACAAGGAAGTTTGTGTCCTGGAAGGTGGACAAGTAAGTGAAATGGGTAGTATGGTGCAAGACCATCGAGCTATGGAGAAAATGAGGTGGGTAAGTGGTAGTTACTCAGCTCTTGCTTCACTGCCACATCTGTAAAATGGGGTGAAAAACCCCCTCTCTGTCACAGGGTTGCTGTGAGGTGAAGTGGGGCCCTCCCCTTCCAGCCCTAAGCTAGGGCCTGCCTCGTGGCTCCGGTGCCTCCATATTTACTGCAGCCTTAATTAAGAGCTGACATCCCCTGCCGTGGAGCTAAGGAGAGAACGATGATGTAACTCCATCTGCTGTGGGTGCTCTTGCAGTTGAGGCTGGTTTCCTGCAGGGCGAGCTAAGTTGTGGTAAAGTTGAATGAGAGTTGATGGTGATTGTGTCTCTGTTTTTGGTCTCTTGACCACAAAGCTCAGGAACTAAAGAACCAGTTGACAAAAAAGGAATTAAGAAAAGATCTCTCTGTAAAATGTTCTGCTTACACTTGTGAAATCTGCGGTAGAAACTTGCTGGAAATAGGCAAGCTAGGAAATACAGCCAGCTTTACCTTCCAGGGGGGAAGAGGTGATCAGTGCATCTTATAGGGAGGAATATTCCTTGTACCGTAATAGTTACAAGGAATTACCTGGAAAGATATGAAGAGTGGATCTCAAAAACAGCGTTCCAGGTGTGTGTGTGGAAAGGAATTTCCAGCACTGCCTGTTGCATGCTGCTCAGGGAATCTGCTTACGGAGTAGTGATTAAGGGGACTTTAGCTTTATATAAATATTTTATTTCTTTAAAAATATACGAAGCAAATATAAGAAGGGAAAAAACTGACTGTCCTCTGATGTATCCAACCCCTGCAGGTTATTATTGCCCACATGTAGAACAGAATAGGAATTTCTTCTTTCTTGTTTTCCTGGGGAGAGTCTTAGGGAATGGGCCAAGGCCTGAGAGATGTGATGTGGAGTAGGGCTGCCTGTGGAATGTGTGCAGCGAAATTTCCCCCCTCCGAGTGTTAGTTTTATTGCTTGTTGAGGAGTTTTAAGATCCTTTTAAGACCCTTTGTAGAAACAATAAATTCAGGTAACGCAGAGACTCTGAGGATGACTGGCTCCACCTTGGCTGCTCTGCTCCTAGCGACAGTTAATTGTAAGGGAACACTAAGCTGTTAAACTCTTCTCTCTCCTGGAATCTGGAACCAGATGACTGGGCTGTAAGAATGATTATGGGGTTGAGGGCAAGCTGAGACAAGATGTAGGTGTTGTGGCTAGGCCTACCTATCCACTGATCCAATAGTCATGATTATCCATCATTTCTGATCTGCCGGACCTCGTGCTGAGAACTGGTACCTGCGTTGTCTCCTTTCATCTGACCGGCGACCCTGAGCCAAGTCGAGTTGTCTTACAGGAGGAGACTGAGGCTCAGGGAGGCCCATTCACAGTAAGTAGTAGGCCTGGAACCAGGGTTCAGTCTACCTCTGATGCGTGGCGCCACCTCATGGCCCTAAGCTCAGATGAGGCTATATTTACGTGCCTATTGGATCACAGACTTGCAGTCCAAAGGGAGGAGCTGTGTTTGTGTTTACATTGTGTTCCTAGGATCTAGCACCAAGATCTGAATATAATCTCTGCTCAGTAAATATTTATTGAAGATGTGAAGGGCTACCTTTTGTGAAACTATGCTTACAGTTTTGTCCTCCCGTAGCAAGGAGTGGAAACCCAATGTTTCTCCTCAAAGGGGTCCCTTTTGAAAAGGGAGTGGACATGAATGGGAATGCAGGGAATGTGGAAATTTATGAAGGGAAGTGACTGCGGCAGGATGGAGGCTGCTCAGCTGTAAGCCCATAGGCAGGTGGACAGGTTGAAACGGCCTGCCTGGCAGTGTCCAGCAGAATCAACCCTCCCATCTCGGAGGTGGTGAATGTCCAAAGGCCCTGAGACACGGGGGCCAGGGGGAGCCTTGGGCTTAGTGCCGGGATATCCCTTCACACCTGCCCTTGCCTCAACTCAAAACTAACCCAAGGTTTGGACTTCAGTGTTTGGAGAAGTGTGAGTGTGTGTGTCATTCTGTGTTTATTCTGAACTTCTGCCCCAGGGCTTGTGAAACAAGACAGCATCTGCTTTTCATTGAATACAAGTTCCCTAAGTGCCACTGAAAAAGCAAGTGCCAGCAACAGTCACCACAGGACAGAAGACCACAGCACTTACTCACTCGCCCTTGGGAAAGGATCCTATTCGAGGGATATAGATTTCCTGGGTGACAGATCCCTTATTCTTCCTTGCAGGAAAGCTTCAACTAAAATCTTCCTCCCCCAGATTAAAATAAGAACACATAATTAAAAACAAAATCTCTGTCTACTGTAAGATCCTGCCTTCTTAAATTGGAGCTACTGAACATCACTTAGCCTTTCCTCGGAGACCTTGGGCAGATCATGACTGTCCGTTGCCACCGAGCTGACTGGCATGTGGAAGCCGCTGCTCTGTCCTGGCCTTGGAGCGGCCTGCTGTGTTGTCCCCGCCCCAGCTTCTAAACGCCCCCTGCCCCCCCCCATTTCCGTTTATAGTTTGTTATCCCCTGGGCCCTGGAGAACCAGATAACCAAGGCAAGGAAGGGTCTTGTCATCAGCAATAATTTCTATGTGGTAACAACCCCAAGTTTGCAAAAATGTACATGGAGAGCTTTTGCAGCTGCGCGGTGGGGAATATGCAGTCCTGTCCCGACAGTGCATTTATAGGAGGCGGTTAATAAACTATTGGCTTTGTATTGGGGAGTGCCCAGAATACAGCATTACTGGGAAAACTAGTTATGAAATAAGAAGTTCATGACCTGTCTTGTTCCCTCCGGTACCAGCGCTGTACACACAGTAGGTACACTTCCTGGCATATTACTATGTGCACAATACAGAGAGCTCCCCCTGTCCCCCACTCACCCGCTGCTTTGGGTTCCTCCTGTCCCCAAGCTCTTCCTTCAGACCTGCCCCTGCCCCCCAGCCCACACCTCACTATTTGACGTGCTCTGTTGCCCAGGACCTTAACAAGGAGCCAAGACTTGGCTGTTGGGCTCAGTGCCCGGCAGGGTGCTGGCACTCAGGTAAAACTGTGCACTGCACAGATATGTGAGTCCAACTTTTGCAAATGAAGTGATGTATTTATGAAATGTGTAGAAAATAGAATATTTTAATGGAAAAGCACTGTGCTTTTTGCCAACAGTAAGAATGTAAAGCATCAACTCCTGATGTCCCTAAGAAGCTGCTCTGTTTTGAGAAACTGTGGCGAGGAAGTGTGAGCTGGGAGGGACCACCCCCACCCACCCCAGGCTGACCGGGTTAAGCATGTTACATAAGTCAGGCTTTGGGTTTCCGTGCAAGGGTCATGAAGCTCTTGGTCTGGAGTCTCCCCTTATGTTTATTCAAGAGAAGTTGCTGTGAGAACTTGGGCCTTGGGCTGAGGCTCCGTCTGAGATGTTCCAACCCCAGCTCCTCCCCCACAAGGGAGGGAGGGAGACCACTGAAGCCTCTAGCAGGGAAGTGAGAGCTTTAAGCAGAAGGAAGATTCTAGTTTCCTGCAAGCCCAAGCTTATCAGTTGAGAACAAGGATGGATTGTTGAAAATTCAACAGTGGAGAGTGACCCAGCAAATGAATGCCGGGGAGTGGACTTTCCAGAGTCCCAATCTAACAGGCACAGCCTGGCCTGCCCAGGGAGGAAGGGGTGAGGCCCAGGGAGGTTAGCCAGATTGGCCCACCTCTTTACTTCATGCTTCCTTAATGTTTGTGAAATAACAAAACCTTTTCATCGCAAACTAATGTAGCAGACTGCAGTGCAGGGCCACACCAGCAGACACACAGAACCACTTCAGCTTTTGCTTCCCCAAACCTTTAACTGGGGAGAGCTGTAGGATGTAGAATAATGAGGTAAGTGTTGGTGAGACCTACTGTGTGCTGGGTTGTCCTGGCTTAGGAACTTCACAGCCTTGCATTTAATCCTCACCTCAGCCTAGGAACCTATGAAACCTCCAAAGGCCGGCCCAAGGTCACCGCCTGTGAGGGGTAGGCATGATTTGAATCCAGATCTGTCTGGCTTAGAGGCTGGTGCTTTTTATATCAATAGCACCTGGAATAAAACTCAAAATCAGATAAAGATAGAAAACAAGAGTTCTGACCTCCTCAGAAACACAGCTGGGCTCAGACTGGAGGCTGGAGTTGGACACAGGTCTTGGTGTCCTTAAGATCTGGGTTCAAGTCCGGTCTCTGCCCTTGCTGCTGAGTGACCGCAAGTGTCTTAACCTCTCTGTCCTACTCTGGAGGGGCGAGCTTTGAGGTTTAAATGGGAATAATCCAAGTATGTGAGGACCTTGGTATCGGGGCACCTTATCATGAGTAGCAGTTTCTGGGACATGCAGGTGACCAAGTGGACCGTCCTCCTGCTTGGGGGCAGGCTGAGGGGCTGTGGGGGGTAATCAGAAGCAGTCAGACTCCCCCATGCCCGGCACCTGCCTCTCCTCTGTCCCTTTCCTGACCTTTCTCCTAGAGCTCCTGGTGAAGCAGGTGTGTGGGAGGTATGACACCTAGCTGAGTCTGGGGGCATCGTGGGCATTGTGGAGACAGATACTCAGTCAAGGGTTACAGAGCTTGTTCCACCAGACAGCCTCCTCCAAGGTCGTCATCTTAACCCTCTGTGAGCTTCATGTTCCCTGGGAGGAGGAGGAGGAGGAGGGCACGCTCAGAGAAGGGAGTAATGCCACATCTAACCTGAACTCCGTCCCCTACTGGAAACTACCATCACCCTCCTGGGGGGGGGGTATTCCCTTAAGATTGATGGGGGACCAACTCAACCAAGGAATCTGGCTGCGTCTGCCGCTGCCCCCTGCCAGATGCCAAGAGCCTTTTGACTTAGGTGCCTGGCTGTGATCGTGATGATGGCAGGAGTGGGATTGTGCCCAAATACCCAAATGGAACCTGGGAGAATGACTCCTGGTGACCCTTTCCTCACCAGCCCCTTCCTGGGTCGCCGGGTCACCATCCCATCGTCACGGATTTGGCACCTGCTGCGCTCCAGGCCGGTGCACACGCTCACTGGGCACTTGACGGAAGGGTTCCTATAGTGACTCCCTCTTTATAGAGGAAGTGCCTACCCCGTGTGATGCAGCTAGAATCACAAGAGCTAGAATCATTTGCTCTTGACCCCAATGAGCCAGCCAGCCCCCTGGGCCTATCTGGCCCTGACTCTCAGAACAGCATGAGCCAAGCTCTGGCCTCTGGCCTTTTTTATGGCCCTGACCCTGGCCCAGAGTGACTGCAGAGGACTCACTGGTTCCTGAGCCAGAGCCAAGCCAACCTCAGAGTGTAGGGGCAAGGAGAGCCCTTGAGGAAGGCAGAGAGTGTTCTTGGATGGGTGAATGGCTGCCCAGCCTGTGACCTTTGTTCCAGCCCCAGTGAAGTGACTGGTGCCTCCCCCCTGATCCCTCCATCTTTCCAAGCTGAGGCAGATAGTTTGCTGAGAGTTCTCTGAGCTCCCCTAATACCATGGCCTGGCTCCTGGGAGCACAGACTGAACTTTGACATTTGATTAAGCAGCTGTGGGGACAGATCCTTTCTCAGAGCAAGTAAAGAAGATTCTGCCTCCCTGATGTTGCCTCATTAAACCAGCTACAATCTCTCCCTAGAGTTGGTCCTGTTGCTCTCATGGCAGCAACCACAGTGATTGCCACTGCGGCAGAATTAAGGGCTTCAAAGGACTACCTCCTCTCTGACCCCCATCTGCTGGTACTTCCTTCCTGCACATGCACCAGACCTACTCCTGCCCCAGGGCCTTTGCACTTGCTAATTCTGCTGCCTATAGGTGACTGCCTCCTTTTTTTTTAATCTTTCAGGGCTCAAGTCAAATTGCTCCGTGGAGGGGTCCTCCCCTACACCCCAGCTAAAGTCTCACTTTACCTCCCTCCTTTGAGTCCTGCTTTCCTCCTTTGCACTTCACATTGTAATCTGAGGTTGTGTTTTGTTTTCTGTGCCTGCCAGAATGCCAGTTCCATGGGGGAGGGACCTTGTTGGTTTTGGTCTCCACTGTGTCCTCACCCTAGAACAATGCCTGACTAAGTATTTGCTTAATGGCTGAAAGAGAAATCTAATTTGCACAACAACTCCCTGTAGTTGTGAGGGAGAGGAAAGATGGTTGTAGGTTACTTGCTGTTTTCCCCTCGGAAAGGTGCAGGCTCTACCCCTACCCCATGAATCTGGCCTGGGCCTGGGCCACACTTGGATCAGCGGAATCTGGTGTTGATAGTGAGGCCGTGGGACTTCTAAAGCTAGATCTTAAGAAGCCTTGTGAATTCTGCCTGAGTTTCGTGGAGCATGCTGTGTGGGAAGCCCGTTCAAATGAGAAGTCCGACTAGCCTGAGTCGGCCTCGCAGTCCAGTGGTACTGTTAGGGGGAAAGGATGTTCTGAGCTAATCCCATACAGGCTTTGTGGACTCCACCCCCACTCCAGACTAAAGCCATCAAGACATTGGGAAAGACAAATCCCATCACCACCAAAGGGAGGGTGGCTGGGACCTGAGGGTGGAGTTGGGCAGCCAGGTTGGATATAAAAACCAAACACGTGGGCCTTGGGGTCTCTCTGGCTCGCGATCGCTCGCCTCCTGGCTTCACGGCTCCTGGCTGGCGGCCAACTCTGAGAGCGCCATTTTGGGCTTCCTGATCGGCGGATCGGGTAGGACTCATTTAAAACTTTGTCTCCCGCTTTTCTCCCAGAGCTGTACATTTCCTCATTTCCCCTTCCCTTGTAAATAAACCTTTTATGAACCTTTCACGTGTGCCTGCAGTAGAGCACTGATAAGTCCTTTTAAGCGCGCGGGTGAGGACCCACAGTCAGGCACCCCGTTTTGTATCGGGGTTGCTCTACAACAGTTCCAGACAAAACTGACAACGCCAGTGGCACGTCGAGCCCTGCTGCCCTTGCTCTGAACCACAAGAGTGAGCCCGAGCTGCCCTGCCTGGCCCGAGCCCATTCAGCGGACACAACCCTAGGAGATAATAATAAATTATGTGAAGCCACTGAGTTTTGAGGTAGCACAGACATGCCCGACTGAAGCCAAGGCACCGAGAGGTCAGATGACTTACCCAAGTCCACTGGGCAGAGCCTGAATGGTCTCCAAGGCCCATGCTTTCAACCTCCAGGTCACATTCATATCTAATCTTTCTTTGTTCTTGCTTTTATATCTCTTGCCATTACTGGGTTGAGAGCTGGTCCTGAGAACTTTCTCCTTTCTCATTGTAGATCTTCATAAATAATGAGTGGCACGACGCCGTCAGCAAGAAGACGTTTCCCACGGTCAATCCGTCCACTGGGGAAATCATCTGTCAGGTGGCTGAAGGGGACAAGGTGAGAACCAGTCACTTTCCTCAGGCAGAGCTGAGTAGGATGGGGGCAGGCAAGGTGGCTGCACTTTTTACTTGTTCTTTGTATGGCTGAAACTTCGCCTGTGTATATTACTATCACAACTAAAAGGTGCCAGTTGAATTTCTTGAGTAAATGAACGGACCGAAGTCTTCTTCACAGACAGGTGCGAGCTTCTACCCCGGTTCAGTATGCTCACAGTTGTGGAATTGTGGATTTGCGGTCAAATTCAAGAGCATCTAATCCAGTCTCCTTTGCAGACCAGAGAGCTGAAGGTCAGGGGTGGGAGGTACAGCCACATGTAGCTGTGGTGCTGGTGTATTTCATTTCGATAATATATAATCATAGTAATGAACAAAGTTTTAAAATTTGTAAATTAGACTCAGGAAAAATACTTCATTTTCAGTTGGAAAGGCGTTAATAACTCAAGAATCCCTCCTGGGGCCTCCCCGGTGGCGCAGCGGTTGAGCACTGGGTTGCGAAGCTGCCCGCGGCCTCTGCGGCGCCGGTTCGATCCTCGGCTGCTCCCCGGCCACCAGAGGAGGGTCCCACATGGCGTGCAGACCTCTCCTGCCGCCCGCTGCTCCCCTCAGCAGTGTACTTCGGTCCTTCTGCCTGCTCTGCTCCCCGCTCTGGCTCTGGTGAATTCTCTCACCCTCCCGCGCTTCTGACTGTACCCAGTGCATGTATAAACAAAACAAACAAACAAACCAGCAAAACAAATAAATAAAGCATGCCTCTATAAAAAAAAAAAAAAAAAAAAAAAAAGAATCCCTCCTGCCTTTTGCTTTAAGACAATCCTTTCCATCCCTGTTTGAGGCCTTACCCTCTCTGCAGAAAGCAAGCGTGACTGTCTCCTGGTGGAGAGAGTGGTCAGATGGTGGCTGTGCTAAATGTCAGTGGAGAACAGGCTGCCCGCCCTGACACACAGCTCCTTCTGCGGCAGGCGCCAGCTGCGTCTCACTGCTCCAAGGAGAAGGACGTGGATTAACCCTGTAATTGTCAGCTAGTAAGGCCTGGGCTTGGAAGGAAGCCGAGGGAGAAAATGGTGAAATTCTAAGCACTGACCCTTGAGTGCCTCTCCCTCCACGACTGGGGCATTTTGACATGAAAAGACAAATGGGAACTGGCAGGATCCCCATTCCCACTGTGGCCCCCGGAGAGAAGGCAGCCTGCCACTCGGTTCTGAAGCTGCTCTGCCTCGGCCTTGGAGGCTGAGGAGGGCTGGTCTGGGACAGGCTTCCTCAGAGACACTGACTGAACCCCCGCGGATGTGGGTGCGCTGGGCAGCCACAGGTGGTGTTGGGAGGGAGTTATGGCTGAGAAGGCCTGAGCTGCCTCTGTGGGTGTTTTCCAGGAAGATGTGGACAGGGCGGTGAAGGCTGCCAGGGCCGCTTTCCAGCTGGGTTCGCCCTGGCGCCGGATGGACGCATCCGAGAGGGGCCGGCTGCTGCACCGCCTGGCCGACCTGATCGAGCGAGACCGGACCTACCTGGCGGTGAGTCCCAGCTCTTCCGCTCTCATCCCCATGGCAGATGGGCCCAGCCTCCCGTGAACAGCCAGGGAGAGGCTCGTTGCTGCAAGTACCTGGTCAGAATGGCTCGAGCCGACACTTTGGGGCGTGCCCCTTCACCACCCATCACCTTGGATGCAGTGGATTTGGCTAAGAAAGGAGGTGATGGAGGGGAGTGAGAAGAGCCAGGGCAGGGGAGCCTTTCTAGAAGAGGACCCTGGGGATAGACACCTCTCCTGGAACCCCTGTATGGTGGGCCATCTCCCTGGCTACCAGGGGCAGCGAAAACCAGGAGGTAGTATCTTCCCGCTCCCCAGTTCATTCTGTACCTAGCAGCCAGAGTGAACCTTCTAGAAGGCAAATTATTCCATGGTGCTCCACTCTTAAGCCTTCCCAGGCATCTCCTATCCTTAATATAAAATCTTGTTCCCTCAACATAGTCTACGAGGCCTTGCCTGGTCTGGCTCCTTCTCCCGGCCATGCTCGCCCATGGCCTTCACGCAGTTCTGCCCCACAGCTTTCCCTCAAATCCTGACACTTCCCTTTGGGCATGAGGGCCATTCTCTCGCCTGGAGTGCCCTGCCTGCCCTTTATCACCATTTGTACAGCCCTTTGCTTTGTCACGTCCTACCCGTCCTAGGGGCTACTCTCAGGTGGGGGTCGGTCTGGGTGGGCAGCCTGCCCGTGTGCTCTGGCCTGAACTCTGGTGAGTGATGACTCGTCTTCCCCTCGCTCCCCGATCTGACACAGCAGAAGCTTGAAAAATGTGTTTGTGAAATGATCATATGAAAAGCTGGTGCAGGATTCCTTCCGTCCCGCTCCTCATTCATTCTGATTTTAGCGAGGGAGGGACAGTGGCCCAGGAACACAGTGATGTCTGCTGGCACCCAGGGGCCGCCCTTCTTGGCCGGGAGCCTCAGCACTGCTCATCACCTCATTTTCTTTGACTCAGCACATGTGTGCTGACCTTGTTCTCTGTCCCTAGACCTTGGAAACTCTGGACAACGGCAAGCCCTACGTCATCTCCTACCTGGTGGATTTGGACATGGTCGTCAAATGTCTCCGGTACAGCTCCGGCTTCCTGTGCTGCCTCGGGGCTGAGGAGGGGCGTGCCTGAAGGGGTGGGAACAGAATAAAAGGATGATAGGGCTGGAGAAATGGCTTCTTTTTAGACACCACCTCATGGGAATAATCCCTCAATACTAAGGCTGTAATCCAGCCATTGCTTCTCTTTCACTTAAGTCAGTTTTGGTAATTTTTGTTGTGTTGGAGTTTGTCAGTCTCATCTAAGTGATGGGATTTGTTGGCTACAGTTGTTCAAGGTATTCACTTAGGATCTTTTAAAAAACCTTTATAAGGTTGTTAGTCATGTCCCCACTTTTCATTTTTTTTTTTTTTTTTTTTTTAATAGAGGCATGTTTTTATTTATTTATTTATTTCTTTGTTTATACATGCACTGGGTACAGTCAGAAACGCGGGAGGGTGAGAGAATTCACCAGAACCAGAGCAGGGAGCAGAGCAGGCAGAAGGACCGAGGTACACTGCTGAGGGGAGCAGCGGGCGGCAGGAGAGGTCTGCACGCCATGTGGGACCCTCCTCCGGTGGCCGGGAGCAGCCGGGGATCGAACTGGCGCCGCAGAGGCCACGGGCAGCTTCGCAACCCAGCGCTCAACCACTGCGCCACCGGGGAGGCCCCACTTTTCATTTTTGATTTGTGTTTTCTCCCTTTTTTCTTCGGTTAGCTGCAGGTCTGTCCATTTTGTGAATGTTTTCAAAGAACTAACTTTTGGTTTTGTTGATTCCGTTACCTTTTCACTCTTCATTTCTTGTGTCTCTGCTCTTTATTTTCTCCCTCTTGTTAGTTTTGGGTGCAGTTTAATCATAAATATTTTAATGACCAAGAACTGTAAGTGGTGGATTAAGAGCCTTCTGGGTGGTTGGGAACAGAAACTCACTCAGCCTGACTAGGGCATGACAGAGTTGGGGGCCTTAAATCCTGAAGGCCACTGAGTTTTACTGCTGCCCCCCACCCTTGCCACTTCATTCTTCCCACCACCTCCAGCTTCCTTTGGGGCCAGTCTGCCTTTTGGAGCCTGGCTGTCCACCCCAGCCTTCCTTCCTCAGTCTGGCTCCAGCCAGATTAAGCAGCACCCCTCTAGTCCAGTGCCAAATACCAAAGTCCTAGTGCCAAATTCTGGGTGCCGAGTGCCACCCCAGTGGGCTGGCTGGGAGCCTGACTACCTGTGGATAGAGCCTTGTGAAATATAGTTTGCTCCCCAGTGACTACCTGTACCAAGGTTCGTGGGGGAGAAGCAGTGCTGGAAAAGTGGGGGGTGGACACATCATAGGCTGCCACGTCACCCTGAAGACAGTGAGCAGTGACTGGTGATATCCTGGAGGAAGCCTGGATGCTGCTAAAAAGCCTGCAGTGTACACAGCAGCCCCCCATAGCAAAGAATTTTCCAGCCCCAAGTGACAGTAGTGCCAAGATGGAAAACACTCTGCAAGGACCCAGATTGCCTCCTGTGAAGTCAGGGAGAGCGAGGGCCATGCCTTTGTGCTGATTGCATAACCGCCAGTCACATGAGGTCTATGTGGAGGGAGGGAGCAGATGAGTTGGGTCACAAATCCAACCCAGGTCACCTTTGTTCAAACCCAGGTCACCTTTATTCTCAGCTAACCTGGCCGGATACCCATTTCACAGAGCTGCTTTTCCCTACTTGCTTCATCCTTCTCCACCTCTTGTTTCTCCTGGTTCCCTGAGAACCTAGCCAGTACTCCCCGTGCACACACGACTGTTCCTTTCTTCCGTCTCTGACTTGCTGTGCTTTCTGTCCCTGCATCCCTGGGTCAGGGAGGGACCCAGCTGAGGATCTGTTTGGGGATGGGCCATCCAGTCTTGACATGGTGCCAGCTGCCTGGTAGGTTTGCACTTTTCTTCCGGATTCCAATCCATGTTCCCAGACACTCACCTCTGGCCTTGTGCTGGTGCAGTCACATTTTAATAACCTGAATGTTTACTAAAAAGACCAGTTTCTGGGCATCAGTCTCACAACCAGATTGAGTCGGTAGGAAGTGGGCGCGTGGAATCTGGTGTTTTCACAAGCATCCTTGGGGACTCTGGGGCTCAGAGCTTAGTCACCTCTTTGGATTATTGTGACTCCAGCAGTTATTTAAGTCTCTCTGGGGAGAAGTTGAGAGCAAGGGTGATGGTCAGAAAGACCCAGCTGGACCAGTTGCAGTCTTCTCTTTTTGGAAGGGTTTAGAGGGTCTCTGACAGCCCTTTCTCCTCTAAGATATTATGCCGGCTGGGCTGATAAGTACCACGGGAAGACCATTCCCATTGATGGGGACTTCTTCAGTTACACCCGCCACGAGCCTGTGGGAGTGTGTGGGCAGATCATTCCGGTGAGTGCCAGCCTCACAGATGAGGGATTGCTGGGAGCGCTGGGCGCTGCAGCAGTACTGGATGGGCTCCTGGTGAAGGTGGGAGGACCTGGGAGGACATTAGAAGGTGGCCTTGATCATGGCGGACTCCCTGGGCTTTGATAATATCAGCTGGGTTCAAGCCCAGCCTGCCATTTGTGAACTCTCTTATCTCAGGCAAGACCAGTAACCCTCTGTGCCCAGGCGCTTATCTGATAAGTAGTTTCTGCACCAGAGGGTGGGATATGATGGTTTCACATGGTGTCCGATGAAAAAGCACTGACGAATGTGAGTTGCTACTATTCTCCTCTGCCACCGGCCTCGCCCATTAATGCAGTTGTGGTTTGGAGAACCACGAGAGGTTTAAAGAATTCGGTGCGGTTGCTTCTCTCTGGGGCACTGCTTTCTGCTGCCAGTTTGCTCTCGGCTTGGATTTTGGTATCAGCTGTTGTCTCTTGCAGTGGAACTTCCCACTCCTGATGCAGGCCTGG